GGGCGGGGGTCGGTGGCCTCCATCCCTGGTGACCGGCTCAGTGCCTCGAACGGGGGCTGCGGGGCCGCATCCTGCCTGGGCTGGGTGGAGCTGAGCCCTCGGCCGCCCCGGAGCCGGGCAGACCCGGCCTGGCGCCTCCTTTGCTGACCGGTCCTGGTCTCTGCAGCGCTCCTGCTCCGGCCACTTCTGGTGGAGCCACGCGGGTTGCCAGCCCCCCACCCCCCAGGACTCTCTACTTATTTGGCACCAACTGCAGCTGCTTCTGCACCGCTGACACGCAGAAGCCCTGCACCCCAAGCTCCTTGGCCCCGGCCTTCTCAAGCTCCCCGCCTCGGTCAGCGTTTGCCCCCTGAGCGAGACCTCGCTCCAGCCATTTGTCCATCCGTCCAACTAAAGGCAGATCAGATCGTCATCGCTGGGGTCCGGGTCGTTCCCAGAGCCCTGGCGAGGTCCCCGCTCCTCACCTGGACCAGGCGGACGCGGGCAAGGCCGAGGACTCGGCAGCCCCCAGGCCGGGGCACAGGAAGTGGGAGGAAAATGCTGTCCTTGCTGTTTCGAAGCCGAGCCTCAGCATCGCGCGCATCTGCGCTGTCAGGACACGCTGCCGGCGTGTCCCCAGGGCCCCGCGCGGCCGCCACCCTGGGCTGTCGGGCTTGCACAAGCCGCTGGGGTCCGTCAGTGCCTCGAGCCAGAGGGTTGGACGTGGAGACCGCAGCGGACGCGATCCGCCTGCACCTAGCGAAGGCGTTAGTCCCGCTCCCACGGCACAGGCTCGCCAGTGACCTTGGGCCATGGGGTGAAGGAAAACGAAGTGGGTTGATGCCCAAGTGGCACCAGGCCTCGCGGGTCCCCAGGGCCTGTCGTGGGCCGGGGCTGGGGTTAGCACGTGTCAGCGGCTTGGGCGCAGGCATCGGGAGCTCCCTGATTGCAGCACAGTTGGGTGGGCCGGGCCTGGGGGTCACAGCTGGCCCAGCTCCAGGCAGGATCAGGCCCATCCAAACCCCCCCCAGACATGTCCAGGACTGACCTGGTCCTGGCACCACCCCCAGATCCGCGTGCAGCGACCAGGCCTGTTGCCCCTGGGAGGGCTGATGGGCGCTGGGTCCTGCACTGCTCCCGCCCCCGCGCTGCCAGGATGCCCGCCAGGCTGTGCCCCAGCCCCGGGAGCCCACCCCGGCATTGCCCGCGGTGGGCACCTGGCGGCATCCAGGGCCGGTTCATCCCAGTGCCGGGAGGTGGTGCTGTGGCACCAGCGCCGGAGCTGCAGGGCCAGAGCGCTCGCTGGCTCAGTTGGCATAACCATGAATATGCATTAGCTCATTTGCATACCACATCTCCCCTGGGCTCTGCTTTCCAAGCTGCTCCACCTTTGCCTGGGGCTTTAGCTGCTCCACGGCGGCCAGGGGTGAGGGGGCCGCAGTGCCTGGTGGGGAGGCAGGCGCGAGGGCCAGGCCTGGCTGGCTGGGAGCCCGGAGAGGCCTCATCTGGGGCTCCCAGGCCCTGAGGCAGCGGCTGGCTCCGGGCCCTGGCTTGTGCAGGTCCGGCTGGTGTTTGTGGTCCCCTGTGACCTCGCGGCTCCCCTGGATACCCCGAGCCCCACGCGCTGCCCCAGTAGCTGCCTCCCCGGCCACATCCCCGTGGCACTGCCTCACCTGGGCGTCCCCTGGGGCCTTGGCTCCCTGCAGCCTGGCAGGTGCCCGCGGGTGCAGCAATGAGTCTCGTGTGGTCCGTCCGGCTGCTCGCAGCCCCTGTGCTGTCCTCGCAGGGCAGGTGAGCAGCACACGGCGCAGCATCGCCCATGCGGCCCTGGGGCCTGAGCTCCATCCCTGCTTGGTGCTAGGGCTGGGCTGGGCTGGGGCCCTCCTGGGGCAGCTCATTGGGGCTGGGGGGCCGTGCAGCTGCCCCCGACCTGGGAAGCAGCAGCACATGGGAAGGCACCAGGCCTCTGTCACTCGTGGCATGGGAGGGGGCCAGTGGGTGGGAGCCCCATGCCCACCTGCACTGCACCCAGGCCATGGGGAGGGTCTGGCAACCCCCCCAGCCTGGAGGCCCGGGCCGCTCTCCCCGCCAGGTGGGGCGGAGGGTGCTCAGTGCTGGGGCCCAGCTACGCATTGAGGAAGTGGCCCGGTGAGGTTTGCACAAGCCGGTGACGTAGGCGACTGGAGCGCGGGGAGGAACTTGCAGCTGGGCACTTGCTGCTCCGTGCCCGCCGGAGATGGGCCCCTGGCTGCCCACCAAGGAGGAGAAGTATGGCATCGGTGAGTGGGCCGGGGGCTGCGCCGGCAGCCGGGGAGGGGCGCAAGGCGTGGTGCAGCTGGGCTGCTGGGCACGCGGCTGGAGTGGAGCTCCTGTGCTGGGCAGGGTGGGGTGGGGCTGGGTGGGGTGGAGTGGGGTGGGGCAGGGAGCCGGGTGCCCGGGGCCGTCGGGGCCTGAGCCCCGTCCAGCGGTGCTGTGTGGGTTCGGAGGGGCGCTGGCTGCAGGGTGCCGGCCCTGGGGAGCCAGGGCCAGGATGGGGTGAGGGAGCTGCGCTCTGGCAGGGCTCCTCTGGGTGCAGGAGCAGGGCAGCCGCGGGTCCGGGTGGCGGCACCCTGGCCTTGTCATGATCCCTACTGCCTGCTTTGCTCTGGCAGGGCTGGTAGTGACCTTGTTTGCTCGGGGCTGGGGCCTGGGGTGCTGAGTGAGCTGCAGGGTCCTCGGCTCCAGCCTGTGCCCTGCAGCTCCGTGACCCCACGCAGCCCCGGGGGCCAGCTGGCCCTGCCTGGCTGCCCTCGGCCCCGGGGCCAGAGGGGGCTGCGGTGGGGTGGCGCGGTCCAGCCCCATGCGCCGGGCACTGCTCTCCCCACATACTCTGCAGAGGCAGGCACGTCTCCCGGGGGCTCCCGAGGAGCCGGTGGGGGGAGTGTTTTCCTGCCGTTGCAAATGAGGAAGCTGAGCCCCGCGGTTGCAGGGGCGCGGTCATGCGGGCGCCGTGCTCTAGAGCGCAGACACTGCACTGTCCACAGCCACGGGCCCGGGGAGCAGGGCCTGCTTTGGGCAGCGCTGCACCCAGCACCCCACTCCCAGAATGCACCTGGGCAATGCTGCCTTGCTCCCACTGTGGTGCATCCCCACCCTGCTCCCACAATGCACCTGGACAGAGCTGGTCCAGGCACCCCAAACCTACCATGCACCCACCACCCCCCTCCCACAATGCACCTGGGCTGCACTACCCCAGCCACCCCCTCCCACAATGCACCTGGACAGTGCTGGGCCAGGCACCCCGCCTACCATGCACCCACCACTCCCCTCCCACAATGCACCTGGGCTGCACTACCCCAGCCACCCCCTCCCACAATGCACCTGGGCTGCACTACCCCAGCCACCCCCTCCCACAATGCACCTGGGCTGCACTACCCCAGCCACCCCCTCCCACAATGCACCTGGGCTGCACTACCCCAGCCACCCCCTCCCACAATGCACCTGGGCTGCACTACCCCAGCCACCCCCTCCCACAATGCACCTGGGCTGCACTACCCCAGCCACCCCCTCCCACAATGCACCTGGGCTGCACTACCCCAGCCACCCCCTCCCACAATGCACCTGGGCTGCACTACCCCAGCCACCCCCTCCCACAATGCACCTGGGCTGCACTACCCCAGCCACCCCCTCCCACAATGCACCTGGGCTGCACTACCCCAGCCACCCCCTCCCACAATGCACCTGGGCTGCACTACCCCAGCCACCCCCTCCCACAATGCACCTGGGCTGCACTACCCCAGCCACCCCCTCCCACAATGCACCTGGGCTGCACTACCCCAGCCACCCCCTCCCACAATGCACCTGGGCTGCACTACCCCAGCCACCCCCTCCCACAATGCACCTGGGCTGCACTACCCCAGCCACCCCCTCCCACAATGCACCTGGGCTGCACTACCCCAGCCACCCCCTCCCACAATGCACCTGGGCTGCACTACCCCAGCCACCCCCTCCCACAATGCACCTGGGCTGCACTACCCCAGCCACCCCCTCCCACAATGCACCTGGGCTGCACTACCCCAGCCACCCCCTCCCACAATGCACCTGGGCTGCACTACCCCAGCCACCCCCTCCCACAATGCACCTGGGCAGTACTGCCCTGCTCCCACTGTGCACCTGGGCAGAGGTGCACCCACCACCCTGACGCCACAACGCACCTGGGCAGCACTGCCTCAACCACCCCATCCCACAATGCACCTGGGGCAGTACTGGCCTGCTCCCACTGTGCACCCGGGCAGAGGTGCACCCACCACCCTAGCCCCACAGTGCACCTGGGCAGCACTGTCCCAGCCACCCCTGTCCCACAATGCACTGGGGCTGCCCTGCAGCACTGGGGCTGTGCCAGGTCCCTGTGCCCTGCCCCGAGTCCCAGCCTTGCCCCAGGCTGCTGTGCCCCTCAGGCTGGCTGCAGCACCCAGGCCGGCTCGGGCCGTGGGCAGCGTGGGGTGGATGCAAGGCACGGGGGGGCTGGGTGCTGCAGCTGCCGGATGGGGTGTTGTCGGCGCTGATCGGGTGCGGAGATAGACAGAAATAGCCCCTGGTCTCCGAGCCCTTCCTCAGGCGGCTGCGGCCAAGCAGGAAGCGCCTTGCTCGCTCCGCGCCTGCCCTGGCCTCGTGCGGTGTCTCTGTTCCTGCTTTCTTCTCGCTCGCTGCTCCGCGCCTGGGAGCTGGCCCCTGCGGGTTCCCACAGGCGAGGGCCGTGGCCCTCCGCCCCGACACGCACCGTGGTGGAGAGCCAGTCCTGGGTCGCGCGTGGCTCAGGGGCCTGCGGGTGGGGCCGGGCTGTGGCTGAGCGGAGCAGAGCACGGGGGGAACGCAGGTCGGGGTCCCATCTGCACCGGCGGCCTGTGCACCCCGGCAGGCCGCGTGTGTTACCGACCCCTGGACTGGGGCCAGCCTGGAGGCAGTTTCTCCTCCACACCCGCATGTCCATCTTGTGCCCCTGCCATCGCCACCCTCCCGCGCTGCCCGTCCCTCTCCCGCTGCCGTGGCCCGCCTGGCGCTTCAACAGCGAGTGGCCACCGGCTCCATCGTAATCAGGCACAGCCATCCTTGCCGGCTCCAGGGCTGCTGAGCTCGCCTTTGCAGCTTGACCCGGGCTTGGCCTGGCTCCTGTCCTCCGTGTCAGACCTCACCGTGCCTTCCACGTGGCAGCCGTGGGGCCAACCCTGGGTCCCCTGGGACGGCTCTGCTCCACGTCACCCAGAGCCTCTCAGGCCCCGAGCGGGGACCTCCGTGCCGAGGCCGACTCCCGCCTGCACGGACTGGAGGGGTCCGGCTTAGCTCGGGGTCACAGCCCCGCAGCGGGGTGGGCAGCTCGTGGCTGTGCCCGCAGGGAACGGCACCCGGGGGCCAGGAGTCACGGCAGCAGTGACCCCGGGGGCTTGGGGCGTGGGGTGGCGCATGGGGAAGAGCCTGTGTAAGCTGGGCAGCCCCCCGGCCGCAGGGAGCGGGTCTGTCCCCAGCGCGGGGTCTGCAGGCAGGAGCCGGGCGTGCTGTGGGCACGGGGAGCCGGGCGCAGCCTCACGCCCGGCCGGGCCGTGCTTTCCCCTTCAGCCGTGTGGAACTTCCCGGGCTCCAACGCGCATCACCTGCCGCTGCAGATCGGGGAGGCCGTGCACATCCTGCAGGTGTCGGAGGGTGAGTGCGGGGCGGGGGGCGCAGCCCCAGGCAGCCCCTGCCCGGAGCCGCCACGTGCAGTCTCCTGCTGGGCACGGAGGGGCCAGGCCCATCTCTCACTGCCTGTCTCCCTTCCAGGCTGGTACCGAGGGTATTCGCTCAGGAACCGGGCTGCCCAGGTAAGGGTGCTGCTTTCGCCATGTGGGTTGGCCCCCCGGCATCGTGCTCCTGTCCTGCCCGGGGTCTTTGGTGTCCTGAGCAGTGCGGCCACCCCCAAGGGCCGGGGCAGGCGCCGACACACGGGGCCTGGAGAGAAGCTCCCTCCGTGCCCCTTGCAGGGCAGCTGTGCTGATGGCCCCTCCTCTCCACAGGGCATCTTCCCGGTCTCGCTCATCCACCTCAAGAGCGCCTATGTGGAACGGAGGGGGTAGGTACCGGGCCGGCCGCGTGCGGGTGCCGCCAAGTGCTGTGGGCCATCGGGAGGCTTCTCGCCCGCCCCTGGCCATGGGGCCATCGATGCCTGGGTGGGGGGGTGGGTGCGTGGTCCCCCGGGGAGACATAGGGGTTTGAGCAGGGGGTGTGGGGTGGGGCGCAGTCGCACGCACTGCCAACGTGGCCCAGCCAGACAGAGACCAGGAGCCGTGCTGGTACAGGACGGGCCTCCTGCTTTGTTAGGCTGTGCAAGGACAAAGCCAGACCCAGCCGCGCTCTGGAAACACGCGTTGCTTTGCTGGGTTACATACGAGATTCAGCAACCCCAATGTGAGAGGCACAAAACAGCCTCAGCCGTCCCAAGTGATTGCGCTGCTGGGCCTGCAGCCGTCAGAGACAAGCAGACGCGTCTCATTTAGTTTTCTCAAAAAAGATGGAGGCTTCTTTAGCCCCTTGCCAGCACCTCCCGTGCCTCCGTCAGTCCTGTTTGCACCTGAGCTCGCGTGACTGCACCCGAGTTCAGTGTTTTAGTCGGAGCTGCAGATGGTCTGCAGGGCTGAAAGAGGAGAGAGACACGGCCGGGCATGGGGCAACGTTGCAGAAGGAAGGCTAGCTAGAATAGGGGAGGACAAGGAGAGGGGTCGTTCACACCCGCGGAGTGGAGAGATTAGCAGGAAGTCAGCCGGCCCCATCAGCCTGACTGGAGCAGAAGTGCAGCTGCCCCTCCTGGGCGGCTGGTTTTAAGGAGCGGGAATTCAAAGGGGTGCAAATGCAGCGCTGCCCCGGATCCACCCTGGGGGGGTCTGTCAGTGCCCCCCTGCCCCAGCTTACCGGCGGTCCCCCCCCGCAGGGCAGAGGAGACGGTGGTGCCGTCGGAGATGCCGCTGGTGCAGGAGATCACCACCACGCTGCGGGAGTGGGCCACCATCTGGAAGCAGCTCTACGTGGTGAGCGCCGGGGCGGGGGGAGCTCCTGGGAACGCAGCCCCCACGGGAGGGGTCTGCAGGAGCCGCGGGCACTGGCTGCCCAGGGCGGGCTGGGCGAGGATTGGGACCCTGGCGGGACAGGGCGAGGGCTGGCGGTGCCCTGCCGCGGGGACCGGGGCCGGCGGGGGCACGTGCCCACGCCCGCTGTGCTGCAGGCAGGGCAGAAGGAGCACTACAAGCAGGTGCGGAGGATGATGTGCGAGCTGATGGAGCGGCGCTCGCAGCTGCTCTCAGGGACGCTGCCCAAGGACGAGCTCCTGGAGCTCAAGAAGGAGGTGACCAGCAAGATCGACTACGGCAACAAGTGAGCACGGGAGCTGCGGGCAGGGCGGGCTGCACGGCCAGAGCGAGGGCCCGAGGTCGGCAGCAGGGGTGACCCGCGGCACCCGGCAGGCCCGGGGGAGCTGCCCCGCGAGGCAGGGGAGAGGGCTGGATGCTGGGCCAAGCGGGGGGGGGTCTGGGGGTGGCTGGGCCCTGGGGGCTGCCATAGCCATGTGGCCTCCGCAGGATCCTGGAGCTGGACCTGGTCGTGCGGGACAAGGACGAGAACATCCTGGACCCCGACAGGACCAGCATCATCAGCCTCTTCCAGGCCCACAAGCGGGCCACGAGCCTCATCAGCGAGCGCATCCAGGAGATGGTGAGAGCCTGCCCCAACCCCAGCCCCAGCCCCAGCCCCGGTCCAGGCTCCCTGGCCCAGGGTACCGGGGCAATCTGACCTGCCGCCCTCCCCAGAGCTCCCAGCACGGCGAGCTGGGCCTCAGCACCCGCCTGGCCTCCGCGCCCTGCCACAGCCTCTACCTCTGCGTCCGCAACTTCGTCTGCAACATTGGGGAGGAGGCGCAGCTCTTCATGGCGCTCTACGACCCCGCAGAGCAGCGCGTGATCAGGTACCCGCTGGGCACGCCCGTGGTCCTGGGGTCACCAGCCCCTGCCCTGGTCCCAGCACCTCGTCCCCACGCTCCTGGCTCTGGCCGCAGCTCCTGGTGGTGCTGAGAAACCTCTTGCCCCGCGTGTCTGTGCCCTCGTGCGCTGCACCAGACTGGTGAGGGCACTGCTGGGCATCTGCCTTCATGCGCTGCCTGGGTGCGGGTGCTGGCGGTGGTCGGGGGCATCCACCCCGCACCCTCGGAGGCCGGTGCCCTGCAGCCCCCTGCTCTCGCGTGCAGCACGCTGGGCTCCGACGGCCCCGCTTCTGGGCTCAGGGTGTTGTGGGACGGTTGTGGGAGCCCTCCTTGGGGGCTCGGGCTGCAGCCAGGCACTGACCGTCCTGGGGCGGGGGATGCGGCTGCGGGCAGGGGTGCGCCCCAGTGCGCGTGACACCGTGGGCCCCGGCAGGGGTGGGCCCCGTGCGTCCTGACGCTCCCTGTTCCCCGGCAGCGAGAACTACCTGATCCGTTGGGCCAGCACCGGGGTCCCCCAGGACATCGAGCTGCTCAACAACCTCAAGGCCGTCTTCACGGTGAGCTCCTGGCCTGTTCCCGCTGCCCGATCCATCGCTGCCTCCTTCTGCTCCCCCAAGCCCGAGACACCAGCCCCCGGGCACCCCTCGTTACCAAACGAGCCCCCGCGCGCGCTCCAGGAGGGGCCCCTCTGCTTGCGCGGGGGTCCCCTGCTCCTCCCAGCCCGGGCAGGGGAAGACAAGGCCTCGTCCTTGCGAGCTGAGTCTGACCCCGTCTGCTGGCGGCGCTTGCTGCTGGCTCGGAGCATCGCCCAGGGTGCCAAAGCTGGGCGGGGATCACCGAGGCTTGGCCACGTGCAGCACCCCAGGGTGGAGCTGGAGATGTCTGAGGGGGCCCGTTGCTGTGCTCGGGTGGGCGAGGTGCCCCGGCTGCGCTGAGCTGTGCCCAGACACCTGCACAGGGCCACTGGGAGCCCCGGGGAGCCCCTGCCCTGGGCCAGTGTGGTTGTGCCACCCCCCGTGCTGGCTTGGCCCCAGGGGGGGGCGCCCATGCCCGGGAGCCCCCCCCCCGAGCCCATCTCTCCCTCCCCAGGACCTGGGCAGCAAGGACCTGAAGCGCGAGAAGCTCTTCCTGGTGTGTCAGATCATCCGGGTGGGACGCATGGACCTGCGGGACGTGCACACGCGCAAGCTGAGCACGGGTTTGCGGCGGCCCTTCGGCGTCTCGGGTGAGCTGGGCCTTGCAGGGAGGGGCTGCGGGGCCACATCCAGTCCAGTCCGGTCTGAGGCAGGATCGGCCCCGTCCAAACCAGCCCAGACAAACCCCGTGTCCTACCAACACGACACAGTCGCCCCCGACACAGCCCCGGGCATTGCCCCCGCCCCTGTCCCCAGGATACAGGGGGGCCGCGGCTGCCAACGTCCTGCTGCTGCCGGGGGAGTCGTGGGTGCTGCAGAGACCCCAGCCCCGCTGCGGAGGAAGGGGAAATCCCGCGGCGCAGCGCAGCTCAGTCGGAGCAGGCTGCAGCCCCTTCCCAGCTTGCATCCCCTCCCCTGGGGTTCAGGAGGGGCCGGAGTTGGTAGGAAAGGGCTTTTCCAGCCCATTCAGGGGCAGAGGGCAATGCATCAGGCGCGCAGCCCTTACCCCGGATCGAGCTGCCCTCCCCGCGCGGCCCTGCTCTGCCCCTGACAGATGCTCAGCCAAGGTATCGATCCTCAGCAAATTGGACCTGGTAGGAAATTATTGATTCTAATCGGCTAATTAGCCAGGGCTGGGACCTCCAGCACCAGTAATTACAAGGTGAATTATTGAGTGACAACTGGTAATTGTGCTTGGAGCAGAGCCTGGCGGGGAGCGGCCAGGCTGGCTCTCTTGGCTCCTGCTCTGCCCGGGGCTGTCGATCCTGTGGCTTGGCGCTTGGAAACCCCTCGGCCGCTGGGGCCGGGGGAGAAGCCTGCGGTGGAAGCAGAGACGAGCCCTGGGCCTCTTGGTAGCCTGCAGAGATCACCTGCGAGACCGGGCACCCCCGGGCAGCGTAGGGGATGCTGCCGCGCCGGTTGCTGACAAAATGCAGGACTCGCTGCCTAGACAAAGTTGCTTAAAGGTTTCAAACTTGCTTGAGAGACGATCTGTAGCTCCCCGGTTCCGAGCAGGGCAGAGAGCGGCTGCTCGCTGCATCTGCGGCGGCCGGCGAGACCGGGGCGGGAGGCACCGAGCGCAGGGTTTGGAGACAGGAGACGCATGCTGAGAGGAGGACGGGGCAGCCCGTGCAGCGGGAGAATGGGGAGGTGATTTCACCTTGGTCAGCACTGCTCAGGCCACAGCTGGGCGCTGCGTGCCCCTCTGGGCTCCACGTTTTTAAAAGGCCGTGGAGAAGTTGGAGAGGGTCCAGAGGCAGCAATGGACTTGGAAGGCAGGTCCTGAGGAGAGGCTGGAGCTGGGCAGGTTCAGCTGGCAGAGAAAGTGCTTAAGGGGGGACGTGGCAGCAGTCTGCAAATCCCTGAAGGGCTGCCAGAGAGACGAGGGAAAGCGCCCGGTCCCTCCTGCTGCCGAGAGGAGGGCGCGGAGGATGGCTGGGAGTTGCAGCAAAGCAGGTTTAGGTTGGAGAGTCCCTGTCCAGGCAGCACGGCCGTGGGAGGGACACCCGGCGGGGCAGCCTGGGGGGACGGGGACTCACTGGAGGGTGCAAGGAGAGGCTGGACGGGCGCTGGGGGGTGATCCAGGCGCAGCGATGCCCGTGCTCTGCTCTGGGGGGTCCCAGGCATCTGGGCTGTGCTGGTTCCCCCTTCTCCCCTTTTGTCAGGGGGTTTCAAGCCTGGGGCAGGCGGCGGGGGGGGTCTGTGTGGGGATGGCACAGGGGGGCAGGGGGAGGATATCCTCTAGACAGCCGCTGAGGAACCAGGACCCGGCCTTTCTTTGCAACGCCGCAGTCAAGGGAAAGGCTTCTCTGGCTCTTTCGGGATCTTTGGCTTGAGCTGCAGCAGCTTGTCGGACGTGTCTCCGTTGCACAAGCACGTGGCCGAGCCCGTGCGACTCGGTGGGGCGCGTTTCTGACGTGCTTGCAGCTCGTTTTAGACAGGGAGTGAGGGCAGATGGAAACTCTGGTCCGCGCGATGCGGGAGGCTGGAGGGGTGAAGATCTCTGCCCCCCCCGGCCTTGCCGTCTGCGATCTGTTGGGACCTGGGCGATGCTCCTGGTGCCGCGGGGCTGGGGCAGCTGCTCCCTTCTTCCAGCCCTTCCCTAATGCAGGCCCCTTGGGAACGGACCGAGCCGGGGGCCAGCCCTTTCGCTCCGTCTGGGGCGCGGTTCTCCAGCCAGGAAGGTTTTCCTGGAATTCAGTCAGAGTTTTCCATGTTTCCTCTTTCTGCCACCCCTTCCCATGCTCATCACCTCACCCTCCACCCCACCTTCATCTGGGAGCCCGGCTCTTTGTAGGTCCTTTTACTAGCGGTCATAGGGCTAAACAGGGATTTCACAAGGTCACGTCTAGCCCAGCCCCTGCTCCAGGCAGGATCAGGCCTGACTCATCCGGCCCAGCCCAGGGCTGTGCAACCTGCTCCTGGGAGCCTCCAGCGGTGGAGTCTCCGCCACATCTGGGAGCTTGCTCCAGTGCTCGTCAGGACGTCCCTCCTTTCCCCGGGGCGCTCTGCTTCATGCCGGTCGCCAACGAGACATCGAGCCATTGACTACTACCCTCTGAGCCCGACAGTCCGGCCGCTTCCCTGCGCGCCGTACAGCCCCCTCGTGCAGCTGGCCCTTTCTGCAGCGAGAGCACACGCTGGCTCCTGTTCAGCTCATGGACAGCCGTAACGCCCAGGCCCTTCTCCAGCACGGTCCTTCTCCCGTTCTGACCCAGCAAGGGCGGCAGCGCCACAGGCACGGGTTTCTCTGCGTGATATCTCTTCCTGGGTTTCACCCAAAGATATCCTGGACCGTCGTGGCTGCACCGGTCCTCCAACCCTCCAGCAGCATTAAATGCAGGCGCTAGGCATGTAAGGGCATCGCAGCCTGCCTGTGTGTGGCAGCTCTTGCCATCGTGTCCTGCCTCTTGTCTCTTGCAGCGATGGACATCACAGATATCATCAAGGGGAAATGCGAGAGTGACGAGGACAAGCAGCACTTCATTCCTGTGCACCTGTGAGTAAAGCGCTGTTGGGTGTAGGGACATGGGCAGACACACCGGCAGACTCTCCCTGTGCCTGGAGAAGGGTGTTTGTGCCCAAAAGCTTGCAAAGAACAACTTTTTCCAACTATTTAGTTGGTCTAGTAACCCCGTCAGCTGGCTCCCCGCCTGCCCTGTCCCGGCTCCGGTCCTCTCTCTCCGGAAGGAGCTGAGACCCCCCCCAGCACTCCTGCTTTTTTCAGGGTGGCAGCGGAGAACGATTTCCTTCACAGCCTGGTCAAGAAAGCGGTGGAGGGGAAGGAGATCAACCACAAAGGCCAAGGTACAGGCGGCCCGGGGCGCTTCCCACCTGCCTGTGCCCCTCGCCGCGCCGTCTTCTGCCTTCTGTGCAGATGCAATAGCAAAGGGCTTAATGGAGCGCCTGGACTCAGGGAAGGTGTCCAGACTCTGGGGCAGGGTTTTCTTCCCCAGGGCTAGACTCAAGGACCAGGGATGTGGGCATTTGACTTTTGAGAGATGCTTGCAGCGGAAAGGGAAGGCTGAGCGGTGCTTCCCTGGGGCACGCACCCGGGATCTACCTGACCGCCTCTGGGAGGTCGTCCTGCCCCGTCTCTCCCAGGCTCCATCCTGGCTTCGCAAAGTGCATTGGCCCAGAGCAGTACAGCTTCACGGTGGTTCAGAGATCAGTATTTGGTCTCTGCAGGGGCTTTAGCTGTTAATTGCCACCACTATTAGGACCAATGCCTTAAATGAGCCTGTGAAGCCCTGGAGCGTGGGCCTGTTGTGCTTGTAGTGGCCTGGGCCACGGAGAAGGCAAGTTGCTGCGCTGCACCATCATCTTCATCTGCAGCCTCAGAGCTGGGTTACAGGGCTCCAGCCTGAGGGTGACCAGCCCCGCACTAGCGGCTGGGTCCTCACCCGGAGGAGGGGAGGGAGGGGATTCCCAGCAAGGGGTGGGGGAACATGGTACCAGGTCATACGAGCTTGGGAAGGCATCGGAGAACTGGCTTGGAGGAATCCAGCTGTCTGCCCTGGCTGGGAGGTGGAGGCGTCTCCCTCCTTTGGGTGCTACAAGGATTCAGCTTGTGCGGCTGCTTTCTGCCGTGGCAGGATGGCCTGTCCAGGCCAGCTCTCGTGCGTGTGCAACAGGCCTGCACGCCCCCGGACTGCACAAGGGGATGCCAGGCTGGGAACCCAGGCCTCTGGCTGAGCTCCCCTGGGTCCATCCCTGTCCCCACCCGGCTCTCTCCCCACTCCAGGGTTCTGGGTGTCCCTGAAGATGCTGTGGGGGGACCTGACGCAGGTGCGGAAGGACCATCCTCACCTGGTGGACCGCCACACGGTCGTGGCCCGCAAGCTGGGCTTCCCAGAGATCATCATGCCAGGTGAGCGGAGAAGGCAGCTTGGGCCGAGGTGGCAGTGGTGACCCCAAGGCCCCTCTGCGCGCGGCCCCGTCCTCCTTGGACGCTTCATGGCATCTTGCTGGGAGTCACTGCGCCAAGCTGGAGGCATTGCCTGCTGTCCGTCCCTGGCCTGACTGAGCATCTACTGCTCGCGTCCTTCCAGTGCCGGGCTTCTAGGAGGGATAGCGGGTATGCACACACGTGTGTGTGTGAAAGTATGTGTGCGCGCATGTCTGTATGCGTGAAAGTGCATGTGTGTGTGAAAGTGTACATGCATGTATGCGTGCAAGTGTGTGTCTGTGTGCATGCTTGTGCACATGTACGTGTGTGTGAGCATGTGTGTGCATGCGCATGCCTGCACATCTGTGTGTGTGTGAAAGTGCACGTGTGCATGCAGGTGTGTGCAGTATGTGTGTGTGCAAGTGTGTGAAAGTGTACGTGTGCATGCATGCATGCATGTGTGCTCACAAGTGTGTGCATGTGTGTGAAAGTGTGTGCTTGTGTGTATGTGCGTGCATGTGCATGTGCGTGTGCCTGTGTTTTACCAGCAGGTGGGCCAACTGCCCTTCCCTTCCCTTCTCCTGCTCAGCTGGAAGCCGGTGTCCTCTGCAGCCGCCTGAGCAGGGCCCTGCCATGGGGCAGTGGCTGGGGCAGCTCAGGCCACAGCTCTGGCCCCGGGCAGGACCGCCTGGTCCCTGCTGCTGCCAGCCCTTCAGGGCCCGGGGGTCTCAGGCACTGGCAGTCCCTGACTCTGAGGCCGCTCCACTTCCCATTCGAGACGCTCTGGTCCCACAGCTAAAGAGGTGGCGGGGGGCTGGAGACGCAGGCCACCCACCCTGGTAGAGCCTGGTCTGGGGGTGTGAGACGAGTCCCCAGGCTGCACTGCAGCGTGGAGGTGTCTGGTATCTGCTATTGCAGCAGGAAGGAATATTTTCCCCCCTCTGCAGCTCCATGCATTGGGCGGGGGGTGTTTAAGCCCCCCGCCCCAGAGGTGCGGGTGCTGCTGCAGCCCCGGCTGGGGATGGGGCTGGGCTGGGCCAATGCTCCCGCTGCATCAACCCCGCGGGGTCCTGGCGGGAGGGTCTTGCCCCCACGCTCAGGCTCAGACCAGGCAGTCACAGCAATAGGTTAGGTAAGGATTGTCTGGATGGTTGGGAGAGGCCGGATCCTGCCTCAGGCAGGGGCCTGGACTAGGTGGCTTCCTGGGGTCCCTTCCACCCCACGTCTTCATGAGGTTATGCTTCAGGCATGAGTGAGGGGTGGTGTAGGGGTCATTGGGACCCCTCTCAGTCATGGCCCGAGAGCGGAGGAGTAGGGCAGCAATGCTGCCATATTTCAAAACCAGGTAAATGTGCGGAAGGGGCTGATGCTGCTGGGCTGGGCTGAGTGGGTAGGACCCAGGGGGGCTTCTCGGCTCCAAGCCCGGGAGTCTCTGGCACGTGCGCACGTTCGTTCTTCCCCGAACGGTCCGTCGGCACCTGAAGGGAGAGCACAGGGGCCGTGAGGGCCGGAGGTGGTGGAGGCCCAGCCTCACCGGCTGTGCTGTGCGGTTCTCCCCAGGGGATGTCAGGAACGACATTTACCTCACGCTGGTGCAGGGCGAATTCGACAAGGGCAGTAAGAAGACCCAGAAGAACGTGGAGGTGACCATGTGTGTCTGCGATGAGGCTGGAGCCGTGATGCAGGTGAGGGTGCCCGCAGCTGTGGGGCTGGCAGGCATCGGGGCACGGGGACGGGAGGAACAGCTGGTGGATTAAACCTGACCGGCCAGCTGGGATGGACTCTCCTTTGACACCCGGTCACTTCCCTCAAGGATGCCTGGCTTTTCCAGAGTCTTGTACCGTATTTTCTGGCATACAACACACCCACAAATATAAAACACCTTCTTTTTGAGAGGCGTTACATTTTTTCCCTGGCACCAAGCCTTGCCTGAGGGCAGCTCTGCCACGGTTGCCCCGTGGGAAGCCTCAGCCGTCTCCTCTTCTCTCATCTCTGGCTGGGGCGTCCTTAGCTGTTCACTTCTTACCAGACTCTGGAAAGAGACCTTCAAAATGGGTCTTAAATGCTATTTTATCCCCTGAGATTTCTCATCCCATCCCCTTCTCCCCAGTTCTAGCAACAGGGCAGAACTGGCCCAAGCGTCCACGTGGACGTACCTGGTCGTTCCCTCTACACAAAGCTTCTTACCGCCTTGGCGAGTCTCCCTCGACCCCCAGGAGCCAACTCCTTGGGCATCTCCATGGCCTACCAGTCTGCTTCCTCTTGTTCACCCACCTTTTCTCCTACATTAGCACATCTGTGGCTCATCATCACGCTTCTTCCTGCCATCAGTAGCATTTTGACTCCTTTTGTGTGTGTGTGTGTGTGTGTGTGTGTGTGTGTGTGTGAAATCATGGGTTTCTGGAACGGCCGTGTTTGCACCTGATACAGTAAACCACCCAAAACCTACTGTGTGATTACAATGAGTTTCCTAATTCCTGTAGCCAGGCCAGTCGGGGTAGTCAGTGCAGGCTAGTACAGCCGTGGCAGGCATGCCGAGCTGGCCAAGAGGTCGAGGCAGAGGAAGGAAAACCTGCTCGGTCTTGGTGGCATCAAGCCCCTCTATGCAGTGGGGATCCCAGCCTGGTTGTGGGGTGGTGTCAGGGCAGTGCTTGGTGTCTGTGCAGAACAGGGCAACTCTCTGCACGTCTCGGAGTCCAGAAAACTGGGACACGTCTTGCCAAAAGCCCAATGTTAACCAACCACCCCGCTGTCCTCCCCCCAGAACGTCATTTACCAGGGCGCGGGGGACAAGCCGGCGAGCGAGTATCGATCCGTGGTGTATTACCAGCAGCGGCATCAGCGGTGGATGGAGACAGTGAAGGTCTGTATGAGCTTTCCCATGAGCTGGCAGTGTCGGGGATGGGACCATCCAGCACTAGGCCCCTGCAAATGGGCTGAGTTTCTGGGTCCTCTGGGAGAGATCTGTGATGGCCGAACTCTGCCAGTCTCCTCCAGACCAGCCTGCAGCATGGGCTGAGCTGGAGTCCAGCTCCGGCCCTTCCCTATCAGTCTGCTCTGTACTCCTGGACAAGCGCCCAGCGCTGCCTTCGCTCCCTTTTGGCCTCGTGGCTGTGGAGTGAGAGAGAAACCGGGCTTGCGGGGTCTAGGGACTCAGGCTTGGCTACAACTTGTGGAGGGAGCCCCTGGGTCATGGGAGATACACATGTACACAGACGTACAGATGTGTACACACTCATGTTCATGTGCGTACATGTGCCTATACGAGCATGAATGCACAAGCACACACATGCATGCAGATGCGTGCCCAGATGCACATGCATGCAGGTAGAGCTGCACACGCATGGGCACATGTGCAGGCAGACATGCTTGCACACTTACATGTCCAGGCCAACGCATTTCACCATCTGGGCAGCTTCTTCCCTGGCTCGCTGCCTGCCTTTACGCTCCTGTAGGCAGGCCACTCACCCTGCCCCCTTCTCTGGGCCGGTACGCCTGTTCTCTGTTGGCTAATGCAGCGTCTTCTCCCCAAGATTGCAGTCCCCATTGAGGATGTCCACCGGACCCACCTGAGATTCACCTTCAGGCATCGCTCCTCCAGCGACTGTAAGTCTCCCTTGCTCTTATCCGGCTCTGCTGAGGACGCAGGCCAGGGCAGAAGCCTCTCTCCTGCGCGAGGCTGCAGAGCTGAAAAACCAGTGTGTAGGGACAGGGCACGGCGCTGCCACGTGGTTCTGGTCAGGGCAGTTTCGAGGGCTTGCCACAGAGATGGGAATTGCACAGACGTAGCACATGATGGAGGCAGAGGGCATAGAAATCATAGATGTCCCAGAGCCGCGGGGCTGGCAGGGAGCTGTGGGGTCATATCCAGTTGAAGCCCTGCCTGAAGCAGGATCAGCCCCGTCCAAACCAGCCCAGACAAACCCCGTGCCCGACCTTGGAGCCGCACAACACAGTCACCCCTGACATCCCTGGGCATCACCCCCGCCCCTGCCCCTGGGACACAGCGGGGCTGCAGCCACCTCCCTGCTGCTGCCAGGGGGGGCATGGATGCTGCAGAGAGCCCAGGCCCAGGCCATGCCCCCGCTGCAGGAGAAGAGGAAACCCCCCAGTGTGGACCAGTCTGAGCAGGGGGACAATCCCTTCCTGCCCCCGTGCAGCGTGGGGCTGAGCCTGAGCGCGGGGACCAGACCCTGCACCAGGACCCTGCGGGGTCGGTGCCAGCAGGAGCATCGGCACAGCCCAGCCCATCCCCAGCACCTCTGGGGGAGGCTTAAACCCCACGCTGACACACGGGGCAGAAAGGAGACGAGGGGACAACCAGCAGAAAATCCAGCTCCCAGAAGTGCTGACCCTCGAGGAAGGGCTGCAGGGCTCCAGAGAGCAGGGGTCAGTCCCTGGGTCTCACCTGGGTATGGGAAGGTCGGGATGTGGGTGGGTGGTCTGATGTGGAGCGATGAGGAGACACGGCTGTGTGGCTGGTCGGTCTGAAACCCTGTCCCCGTGCCTGTGCCTCGTCAGCCGGTTGGTCACCCACCAGTCTGCTAACGAGCTGTCCGGGCTCCTTCTGTCGGTTCCTCCCGTGGTCTCTGGTCTTTGCAAAGACCTGCGTGGCACAAATCTCCCAGGCTCCCGGTGGATGTGAGACCCCTCTTTGCCCGGCCACCAGCTGCCACGCGTTAATAAGAGCAGGGTAAAATCTGCCACTTTGCACTGGGACGATGCCCCGCGGCGAGGAAGTGCACGTTGTGGGCTGAGTCCAGGACTGACCTCTAGCTCTGGGGTTTTGTCTCCTAGCGAAGGACAAAAGCGAGAGGGTTTTCTCCATGGCCTTTGTGAAGCTGATGAGACCCGACGGCACGACCCTGCATGATGGGGAGCACGACCTTATCCTGTACAAGGTACTGGTGGGCCCCGGGCGGATCTAGGGGCTGGAAACAGGGGAGGCCACGAGGATGCGCAATCGGCCTCTCCCTAAGTTTTGGACGTGCAAGGCCAGGTGCCCGAGGGAGTTGGGGTCAAGCCTCTCGGGGTGCAGGCAGCAGGGACCTGCCCTTCCAGATGTTTCCCAGCACTTCCCCTTGGCTCTCTGCCTGTAACTCCCAGCGTCCCCCCTTTGTCCAGGCTTTCCTCAGCCCCTTTCTGCTCTTGATCCTTGGACATGCTTGAGGGGCAGCGAGCGCAGCCGGCGCGCTCTGCTCGGGACCCCTTGGCGCACTTCTTGTTAACCCTTGACCCTCACGCCTGCCCCTGCTTTTGCATGGGTTGTCCCAGGAGCTCCGTGGCTGCACACGTGGTGACCCCCTCTTATACAGGGGGCGAAGACTTTCTGTGTGAGCCTGTGCCCACGTCTCCACGGGCATCCACCAGACCTTTCTGCCCCTGGGTGGGGGTTCAGTGCATGCTGGGGGTCCCCTGTCACAATGTGACTTCATTTTCTGGCCCCCTTTCTGTGCATGGATGTGGGTTCAGACACTAGCCATCTGCATGCCTGCATCACCCAGCACTGCAGAGCTTGGGGCTGGTCCTCGTGATGGGGCCCTTCTCTTTGCAGAGCTTGGGGGCTGTTTCCCATGGTTCGGTGCATCTCTTCTGGGGGCCATGGCTCGTTTTTCGGCTCTGCTCGGCTGCCGAAGGCAGGGTTGGTGCCCCCCCAGGCAGCGTTTCTCTGCCCCAACTGCAGTACGACGTGCAGTACGCCCCTTTGGGCGGGGGGCTGGACTCGACGATCTTCTGAGGTCCCTTCCAGCCCTGATGTCTATGAAATCTATGAAAGATCGGGTGCTGGGACATCGTTCCCTGTCGGTGCTTGGGTCATGCCCTGTCCTTCCAGCCTCCTGCACGGCCGACCCCGAGGCCCCTGCCACACGTTACACGCATTACTCAATTCACCGGTGAATCGCACAATACATTTAGATCGACTGCACGTGCAAAGTAATTTTCTCCCCATAACAATGCCCATGCCGCTATGGAAAGAGCCAGCCAGCTGCAAAGTGAGTGCTTGAGCAGGCGTCACAACTTGAGAGCTGAATTTGAACCTCCGGGCCATCCCGGGGTCTCACATACTGCCAACGGACAGGCAGACAAGGGGCTTCTTGGTTTCAGGGCTGAGCAGAGCAAGTGGAAAAGAAACAGAAATTTGCAGAGAAGAGGCACGTTTGTGACCCAAAGCCACCAAAAACCTTCATTTTTGTTCCACCTGAAATGTTTTGTTTCAGCTTGGGGTTATTTGGCTCCCTTTTTTTTTGTCCTTTGTCTAAATAAGTGTTTAGAGGAATGAGGTGGAAAGTTTTGCTTCAGAAAGGTTGAGCATTTCCAAACGGTCCTGTTTTTCCAGCGGAGGCTCTTCGGGGAATGTGAGCTACTTACCGCCTGCGCTGGTCTTCCCGCCAGGCACGGGAAACCTCTTGGGCGCCCTTGGTCCTTGCTCTGGGGCTGCTCCCTGCAGCGTGCCTTCCCGTGCTTCTCCCGTCTGGGTTTCTGTGCAATCGATCTCTCCTTCCTTCCCCTGAGACACGAATCTTCAGCCGGAGACTGTTCACTGCTGTTTTGCTCTTGGTATCGAACTGAATCGAATTGAACTCTGCGTTACATTTTTCTTGCTGCTTCCAGATGTATCTGCACAGGTCACACCAGGCAAAACCATCTCCCTCTCCACGGCTCTCATCTTTTCCAGATTTGCAGATTCGTATCGTGTCTCCTCCGCGTCCCGGTCAGACCCAGCTGCTCTTGTTCCTCAAACTCCGCATGAACGAGGCCCTCAAGTTCACGACCGCTCTCTGTCCTTGCTGGGCACTCCCTCCTCGTTTCCTAGGACGTTCCTAGGGTAGCTCCTGTGTGTTTGTGCAGGGCCTTGCACAACAGGCCTGGACCCACAGCTGGAAACCCTAGATGCTATTGCAATGCAAATAGTTTCTTCTTTCGTATGACGAAAACGGTGTCCGTAACTTCATCTTTGTGCGCTTTGGCATTTTTGTCGATTCGGGAGCTCTTGGCCGTCAGAGAGGTTACCAGGGATCGCTACGTGGAAGTGACTCTCGTCGACCCCCATGCAAATAATAATTAATAAGAACGAGTGCTCATCCCAGCGGGCGTGGAAGCTGAGCCGTGCAGGACTACTCTGTGGACGTGAGCCCTGCTCGTGCTGTCAGTCGTCACTTCGGGCCTCAGCAAGGCTCTGCCGTCCCTGCCCCTTGTCTTGGTAGCGAGGACGGCTGCCTCGTTACATTTATACACTTCCACTTCTCGACGAGGGTACGTAGTTGGCCCAGCTCCCACTCCCAGCCGGGAGGCCCGGTGTTCGTTTGGTTCTTGCCTTTCTTTTGGCCTGTCCGGCATGGGTAGCATGACCAAGGGTAACAGCTCCCACAGGTGCAGCTCTGCAAGCCAGGAGCACAAAAGCCCTCTCGCTCTTTGCACATTTTTATTGATTATTTGGAGGCCGAAAATGGAGAGTTTCCTGATTAATCTGGCACGTGCCATACACCGGGGAAAGTCTGCATGTAGTTTGGGGGGGCAGGACAAGAATAGAAAAGGATCTTAGTAAATTAGAAATCTGGGTTATACCCAATGAAATCCAACAGAGGAAAATCTGCTAGATCTTTAGAAGAAGATTCAAAGGGGACACCCTGTGTCGCCGAGAAGGATCTGGATCCTCGGCTCGGCGTGCACCCGTGATGAGACGGTGCTGCAGGGCTGGGCTGCGCTCACAGTGTTGTAGGCGGGACTCACGCGGCGATAGCACTGGTCATCCGACGTCCAGCTCCGGGCACTGCATTTTAACAAGTGCGGGGAGAAACTGGAGAGGGTGCAACAGCAATTGACAGGGATGGTACAAGGGATGTAAGGCAACGGTGTGAGGGCAGGTTGAGAGAGCTAAGTGCGCTTCACCTGGAGGAAATACATCTATAGGGGCCTGCTGCCTCCAGGCCTCTTCGCCCGCCGTCAGTGCAGCTACGCTGCAAAGCTGCCCTGGTCTGTCTGCGTGCCCTGTGCCTGGTCAGTCTCCTGTCTCGCCGGCAGCCACCTCTGTCCTCCCTGCTTACTAGGCACCTCCATCCGTCCGAGGGTTTAGCTTTCAGACTGTTTTCCGTGGGTGGATTAGGATGCGTTATGCCCGCTCAGTCAGACCTCCCGTAGCCTCTGCAGCAGGCACGGACGAGCGTCTGGCCCGCACCGCGGCGCCTTTAGAAAGGGCGGCAGTCTTGATCGAAAGCCTCGGCAGGACGGAGACTCCCCCGTGACCCTGGAGAAACCGCTTCGACACTTCCTCACGCTGTTAGGAATTTGCATCTTATTTCTATTCTGAATTGTCCGGCTCCAGCTCCAGCTCCTCACCGTGGGATCTTGCCTTTCCTGTTCCTGCCGGATGAAAGAGCTGTCTTATCAGACAGAAATTGCTATCAGGGTTTCAGGAGGAGCCTTTCTGGCCTCTCTCAGGTGCCGGGCTTTGTGCCTTTACCTCCGCCGGGATGGACTCGCGCAGGTCTCCCAGCCAGGACCGGCGGGCTCTGTCTCCGCCGTGCCCACCCCGCAGGCCTGCCTTTCTCCCCTCTGGGCTCTGGCCAGTGGTGCATTTAGTAACCGGACAGCCGGCGTCAATGGAAGTACTGTTCCTTTGCACAGCAGGACAAAGAGGTGCGAGGAAAGGAGACTGAAACAGTCAGCAGCCCCACACGCGCCCGGGCTGCCCGCCAGCTGGGCTGAAGGGCTGACCTGCTCACAGCGGGGCCTGGGCGCCTGGTTTGAAAAGCTCCCTAATAATGGAGGGAGTCTCGTTACCGATGCCGGATTCCTCCGTCCTCGTCCGTCGCTGCGTCTGGCCCTGCTTCTCCGGCCTGGTTTGGCAGGATCCTGAGAGCCGGCAGCTCCTCCGCTTTCCATGCAGCAATTTGTCTTTATCCATTGCTTCATTTTCCCACCTGTTCCCTCAGTAGTGCTGTTAATTTAACCCCGTGAACCGTATGGCAGTCGTCAGCTGTTGCAGAAGAGCTCTGTGCTCCATCGTGATACCCTCCTGGCATCTGTCTTTTTCTCTTTCTTCACCTGGAGAAGCAAAATAGATCGAGCTGCTTTACCCTCTCTTTGGAAGACCAGTTTTTCAGACCTTAAATCATCTGCATAGCTCTTTGCTGAACCATTTACAATTTTTCAGCATCTTTTTCAAAGCGTGGACGTGAGACAGCACACGGTATTGCTCACATAATGTTCCTATGCTCATGTTCACTTAAACCCCAGCATTTGTAGTCATTTGTGCTCCGTGTTGTAGGCCTGGCCCTTTTCTTATAAGTGTCTTTTTGTCCTTGTATGTCGCTGTATGACCTTGCCTTTGGTTGTATTAAAACAGGCTGTTCCCTGGATTGTTCAAATGACCGTCTCACCAAGTGATACAGGCTGGCCGGTATAATGGACCCGCCCCACCTTTGCTTTGCGCTTTCCAGTTTTTATCTCAGCTGCAAACTGCGGCAGCCGTGATTTTAGATCTTCTTAAAGATCATTGACAAAGATATTGAAGAGCCTGGAACCAGAAACAGATCCCTGTCGCATCTCTAGAAATGCCTCGGTGGGATGGGTACCGGGAAACGAAGGCCTGACAAGACCATTAGGTTGTCTAGTCCAACCTCCTCTATATCGCAGGCCAGTGTTTCCCGTTTACAAAGCTAACGGTTGATCAGGTAACCAATGGCTTCACTGGTTTTAATAGGGTGCTAATTACTTGATCAGACTGTCAAGCACGTTCCGAGCTCAAGTATTTCATAGCCCTCGGTGGGGGCAGACGACAGGACAAGGAGCAATGAGCTCAGGCTGCAGCAAGGGAAGCTGAGGTTGGACATTAGGAAGGACTTTCTCCCGAGGAGGGTGGTGAAGCACTGAAAAAGGCTCCCCAGAGTCTCCATCCTTGGAGGTGTTGAAGACCCGGGTGGACAAAGCCTTGTCCGGGATGACGTAGTTGGGGCTGGTCCTGCTCGGAGCAGGGGCTGGACGAGATGACTCCTGAGCTCCCTTCCCAGCCTCCTTGTCTCTGATTCTGTGATTTCTAGATCAGTGCCGATACCTCCAGCAGCAGCCTCGTGGCTTCATGCAATATTGTGCCGTACGGGTTGAACCCACCTAGCGTCTCGCTCTTTCTGATGACGCGCTCCGTGTTTCAGGGTGACAGCCGGAAGCTGGAGGAAGCCAGCTGCTACCTGCACCTGCCTTTCACCGGAAGCGTGTCCGAGGCAAAGGCCCTGTCTGGTGCCTCTTTCCGAGTGAGCGGCAGCATGGCTGGCATAAGCGTGTCTTCCCGGGACAGCTTCCAGATCTCTACCCTCGTCTGTTCCACGAAGCTGACCCAGAACGGTACGTAGCAGCCTTCCCTTGCTCTCGGCCCGTGCACACGCCAGGATCATTGCATTATGCCAAGCTGTCCGGTCCCGTGTGCCCTCAGCACCTAAGTTGTATCCACAGGACATTCTCCGTGCACCCCCTGGGCGCGCATGCAGCTGCACAGCACGCCGTGTCTTTTTGTAAATGCTGGTGTTTTACAGTTAAAGAAAATAAGTGGCTAAGTCTTTAGCTCCCTGGAGTCCAAGAGCTGGAAGGGATCAGCCCTGCAGCACTGCAGGCCTGGTGCCTCCTGGGGATATGTCCTGGGGGGGCCTTTCAGTCCAGATGTTGGCACAAAAGATGTCTGGCAAAGGTGTCATGTGATGATATCCCTGCAACATGTAGGCGAGGAGATGTGAAAGACGAACTCTAGCACTGCTCTGAAAATGGCCGAATAACTAGCGTCAAGGGCTTTTGTGGTTGTGGTCTCTTTGGGACTTGACCCAAGATCAAGCTAATAGATGTTTGGCCTAATTGCCGGCTCTGCAAGCAATGCCAGAGTCAGGGTTGCACACCGGGCGTGGTTGTACCGATGCCAGCGCAGGGGACGGTGCAGCTGGCGCCCGGCCGTGCTCGTCTATCAGTCACACACTCCCGTGGCCCCGGCATTGCAGGACTGGATTGCCCCAGAGTCCTTTCCTGGACTTACCGCAGACGTCCGTAAGACGGGGACGTGCTACCGTCTCCGTCCTGCCGGGAACTCGGGCAGAGCAGCCAAGTCCAGCTCCGGGTAGCCCCAGTCTCGGGGGCGCTCCTGGCAGGCTTTCGCTTACGAGGCTGACTTGAGCTGCTGGCAGCCAGCTGCTCTGACTTCCTCTGCTGAGGGGTCTTCTCGCTGCCTGGGGTCGTTTTCCAGAATTAAACACAGGGCCACATCCAGTGGCAGCGTGTAGGCCCTGGATGGAGTTAAGGTACTCAGGTGTGAGCCATTCACCCTGCCCCCGTCCTTGAAAAGCAGCGAGTGTGGAAGGTGGGTGGCCGGGGCACTGGTAGCAGCATTGCCACATCAAGGAAAGTGATGCTTCCCCTCTGTTCAGCACTGGGGAGGCCACATCTGGAGTCCTGTGTCCAGCTGTGGGCCCCCACTGCAGACAGGATGGGGACACACTGGAGAGAGGCCAGCGGAGGGAACGGAAATGGTTGGGGGTTGGGGCACAGGACTGGGGAGGAGAGGCCGAGGGACCTGGGCTGATTGAGTCTGCAGAAGAGGAGACCGAGGGGGATTGAATAGCAGCCTTCACCTCCCTGCAGGGGGCTGCAAGGAGGACGGAGCTGGGCTGGTCTCAGTGGGGGCAGATGACAGGACAAGGAGCAATGGGCTCAAGCTGCATCAAGGGAAGGAGAGGTTGGATATTAGGAAAAACTTTCTCCCGAGGAGGGTGGTGAAGCACTGGAGCGGGTTACCCAGAGAAGTGGTGGCCTCTCCATCCATCCTGGGAGGTGTTGAAGATTTGGGTAGACTGTCTTGGCTGGGAGGATGTAGTCGGGGCTGGTCCTGCTCTGAGCAGGGGTTGGACTAGACGTGACCCCCTGCGGTCCCTTCCCGCCCTTGTTGTCTGTGACCCGATGATCGTGGTCGCTGGGTTTGTGCCTGGGCTGGGAGCCGCGGGGCTGTAGAGCAGCGCAGGCACGTTGACATCTCTGGCAGCTCTTGCCAGGGTAGAGCGTGCGCTGGGAGAGCACAGGGCGAGAGGCAGCAGACAGGCCTGGAAATAGCACTGACAATTATGCCAACTGCTCCACATGGGCATCTAAAGCTAATGGGGAAGGATCAGCGGATACACAAGTGCGGAGCCAAATGTTCCCTGTACTGAAAGCCTGAATTGAGCTGTGGTCTCAAAATGCTCCGAGCGAGAGCTGTGCAGCCCACGTGTCCCTGAGACCGTGCAGAAAGCACCACGGACATTTCATCAGGCTTTGCCAGCTCATTCTTCTCAGCACGTTACAGCGGTGAAGCCGCGGCTAACAACCGTGCCTCTCTCCACACGCTTGCTGCAGCGGCGCCGAACCTGCCGGCTTCCTGTGATCCAAAGCAAACATTGCAGCAGCTCCCCACAGCCCTGCAACACCTTGGTGGTTATGAAAACGCCGCATCGTCCTGCCCCGAAGCAGTCCCCGTTTCACGGCTGCAGCGGAGAAGGGCGTTTGCAGGGGTCCTGGCTCGTCCCACGTGCAAGCAGCTCCTCTCTGGCAGGCGGAGAAGCTGCTTGTGAAGCTGAAGGCTGCGCCCCCGGGAAGCCGCCGCTGGCAGCTCTGCCGAGGGTCTGTACGCAGGCAGTGACAGCAGCTTGCAGTTGGGGGGACGCGGCCTGCGGTTTCTTTGTGTCTGAGATAATGGCACGAGTGAGGCTGGGAGCTGTTGGGATCCAGTTCCTTCTCTCCCTGCCGCACAGCTCGCGCTTCTGTAGCAATAACCCTTTATTCAGCTCCGTTGCGTGTTTCTGATGTACAAAAAGCCTGGCAGCCCACCTGCCGCGCCATGCAGCAGTTGTGTTGCGCCGGGCAGAGCAGTGTGGGGGTGTCAAGGGCATGGGGCCGTGGCCTCACTGGGACACCCTCGCCGTGGCTGAGGACGCTGCACGGTCGTCGGGCTGAGAGCGAGCGCTGCAGGCCAGAACAGGGGGTTTCACCACCTGCATGAAAGCAGCTGGACTTGCTGCAGTCCAGGCCAGCTCAAGGTTTGCCTCCAGGCTCACGGTCTCTATGGCCGGAGCTTGGGCAGACGGGGAGCAGCCTGGCCCCTGTGTGTTGCATTGCCCACGACACGGCATGGTGCAGTTGTAAGGGAGGTCTCCAGGTTCCTTTTCTAGCTGCCGTGCCTGGCTCCAAGCTGGTTGTACCTGGAGGGTCGCACACGTATGGCACCGTAGGCCCGAGCAGAGAGACCGTCGAGGGGGAAACTAGGCTTTTGTTTGGTGTATGAACCTGGAGGGGAGCAAGGATGGAGTCCACCCTCTTGTGCAATTGCACCGTGTTTCCTAGGCAGGCAGGGGCTCCCTGCCCTGGTGTGGACTGGCCGAGGCTGCTTGCAGCTGCACACAGTCAGGGTGCTCCATCGGGTCAGCGTGCACCCGTCTCTGTTCATTGCTTGCTGTCTTCCCCCCATCAAACCTCCCCAAGGAGCAGCGTGCTGACCTGTCCGCTCTGTGGGGCTGAGGCTGTGGAGACCGTCTGGGAGCTCCCAGAGCTGCAGGCTTGTTTCCCACTTCGTGCCCATCTCTGGCAGTCTGTGCACTTGGGAAGCGCTCCTTACGGAGGCTGTGGTCTGAACAGAGAGTGATGCCGCAGCCATTCCCGAAGGCTTTGCTCCCTCACTGGGAAGTATTTCTGTCCCAGGAGAGGATCTCTTTCTGCAGCTGTGCTGGGGCCAGCGGGCATGGGCAGCTGGACAGGGGTGACAGGTGGGGGGGCCAGGGAGCGCTGGCTTGGACGTGCGGTCCAGGGGCTGGGTCTTGGCCTAGGCCAGCAGGACACAATGACAGGACTGATGCCCAAGTTTCTTTCCACGCAGTTGACCTGCTCGGGCTGCTGAAGTGGAAGTCAAAGCCAGAGCTCCTGGCTGGAAACCTGCAGAAGCTGACGAATGTGGACGGAGGGGAAGTCATCAAGGTATGAGCGCCCTTGGCGGCCTGTGTCTGCAGGACCCCTCCTCCTTCCTGAGTCCGGTCTCTGTGGCCCCCAGGATCTGAGCCTCCAAACACGAGGATTGCCCCTCGTAGCCAGACAGAAGTGGGCGGTGGAGACTCGGCTGGCAATGCCTTGGGAGCAAGCCAGGCTAGTCCAGGGGGAAAGGCAGGCACCGCGCGAGCTGGGGCAGAGCAGCACGAAGCCCCGGGCTGTGCCGGGCACACGTGCAGAAGGCTGCAGCCTGGAGCAGGGCGGGGAGGGAGACCTCGCATCGGCTCTTCCTCCTTATTGCTCCGAGAGCCCGCGGCAACCCGGGGGACCCTCAGCGAAGAGCCAAGGGGAAGACCGGGGTGACTCGGGGGCCGGGTCATTGTAACTGGTGTCGGGGTCGTGTCCAGAGCGCTGCAAGGGGCTAGGAAATACCCGGGCCAGAGGGGCGGCGTTGGGGGGGAGTTACGCTAACCGGACAGGGCAGCACGGGGATGTGAGATTCCCAGGGGATGTTTAATTTGGAAAAGGCTGCAAGTGTCATGGGGCATGACAACCGGCGGGCGTTTGCTCCGGTGCCTCGGTTTTCGGGGCAGGCGGTGCCGGGGAGGAGGCAGTGGCGCCAGAGGCTGGGCCTCAAGCCCTGGCCGTCCCCGTGCATCCCCCAGTTCCTGCAGGACACCCTGGACGCCTTGTTCTCGATCATGATGGAGTATGCGGAGACCGACATCTATGACACGCTCGTCTTCGATGCCCTTGTAAGTGAGCCCGTTCCCTCTTCCCAGCCCCTGGCATGGGGGCCGCCACCCCCAACCCCCCCACGGCCAAGCTCCTTCGCTCCCCGGGCTCCCCCGGCTTTGCCGTTGCTCGGGGAGGCCGAGCTTGGCTTCCCTGCACCGCAGCCATCTCTGGTCCAACCGGGGGGCCAGCGGGAGCATCCAAAAGATGCTCCTCAAAGTGGGATGGATCGCGGATCAGGAGGAGAGACCCAGGCAGCTCTTGAGATACCCGGGCAGGGCCTCTGGAGCCATCCAGCCGTGGCCCTTCCAGGTCTGCTCATCTCAGGGTGCGCGCCTCGCTGCCCCCCTGCACCCGAGGGCTGTCCACATTGCTCGGTACGGAGGGCTGTCCCCTCCAAGCCAGCGCTGGCCCTAAGGCCTTAGCGCGGCGCGGGGGGGAGAGCATCTCGGGGAGCAGCGGGATGACGATCTGGATCTGCAGGACGCCCCTCCTGCGCCAGTGCAGACCCCAGGACACCGCTGCGCTGAGGCCGGATTGCCCCTGACGTCTGCCTCGGTTTCCCCGGCAGGTTTTCATCGTGGGGCTCATTGCTGACAGGAAGTTCCACCACTTCAATGCCGTCCTGGAGGCCTACATCCGGCAGCACTTCAGCGCCACGCTGGCCTACAAGTACGCACACACGTGGCTACGGGGTGGGCGCGTGTGGAGTCTGCCCGTGTCAGTCGGGGTGTTTCCTCGGTGCATGGGGCTGGGGGTGTTTATCTGTGAACTCCCGGCACAAACGTAATGGCACAAATGTAACGGCCTCCACAAGCGCCAGGTCGCGGTACTGCCCTCTCTCCGGCGGCCGCGGGCCAGGACCTGCAGCTCTGCACGAAGCATGGCTGGCGCGAGGCTGGCCGTGCGGGGAGCCTGTTTGCGGCTCCTCCCTTCGGGGTCTGGCACCGGAGAGCTGTGGGGGTGGCTCTGCAGTGCCCCTTACACCAGGACGTCGAGAGCCCCCCTGCAGCCCCGGCTGTGCCCGGGGGGCTGGGTTTAAGCGCCCCACGTGCCTCCCAGCCCCTCTTCCCACCTTTCTTTCTCCACCTGGCAGGAAGCTGATCTCCGTGCTCACGCAGTACGTGGACGCAGCTGGCCGAGGGGAGCCCTGCGACCCGCTCATGCTCACGTTCAAAGCCCTGGAATACGTCTTCAAGTTTGTCGTGCGATCCAGGCAGCTCTACGCTCAGTAAGTGCCGCGGGTGCTTGCACCAGCCTCCGCGGGAATGCAGCCGCCTGCGTGCATGGCATGTTTCGGGGCACGCCGCAGCCTCTGCCCGTACCAGTGCCTGCTTGACCGAGTCCGGCCACCTCTGCTTCTGCCTCCCCGCGGGCTGCGGCTGGAGGGTGTGGATGCCACCAAGGCGGGGGGCAGGCAGGGCAGCTCCTTCCCCTCGCATCCTCTGCAGCAGCTTCGTGCTCGGGGGCGGCTGTGGCACCCCGGTAGCCACGTGGTTCCTGCCCCGGCTCTACGCTCGGGGAGCCCTCTCCCCTCCTGGGCTCACCTGCCGCTGTCTTTGGTGTTAAACTTAATTCGGAGGGAGGCTGCAGGAGGTCTTTGAGCGAGACGTTCCTGTGTCGGGCTTCAGCTTTCTTGGCTTTTGCCCCTTTCCTTTTGCCGGGCCCTTCAGCTCCAGCTCACCCACTGAACTGCGCTTTGGGGTCCCAGCTTCCTGCCGCTGCCCCTCTCGGGCGCTGGGCTCTCCGGCCTCAGTCCTTGCCTTTCTCGGGCTTCAGGCCTTATGGCCCCTAAATCCAGTCCTGCCTACCTGGGCTCTGGGTCCACTGGCCTTGCCCTGGGGACCCCTGACCCCTAGCCAAGCCATGCCCTGAGCCTGCCCCTACCATATGCCCCTAGGGCACTAATGGGACCTCCAAGCCACCCCTTCGTCCCAATCCCAAGCCAACAGGATAATGTAAAATGCAAATGTCATGCAACCATTTAACAAACGTGCTCCCTTCTGGGCAAACGAACAGCAGCAAAAGGGGAAACCGCCACTGCCACTTTGCAAGGGAAAAGCGCCCTTTCCCCTGTGCTGGTCCCAAGGCGGCTCAGCGGTGCATCGGGCTTCCCCGGCTGGAGCTCCTTACCCCGCAGCTCGCAGGGCCGAGCCGCCGTGCTCTGGCTCTGATCAGGGTTGATATGTGCAAAGCCCTGGCCCCTTCCAGGCACCTGCCCTCAGCTGACCGGCTCACAGGGATGTTTATTAATCCTTTGCGCCGTCCACAAAACCCCTGCCCTAAAAGGGGCCCTTTTGCATCCCCGTAGAAGGGAACAGGTGCCCTGTCGCACCTCCTGCAGACCCCCGGGACGTCCCCGCTGCTGCTCGGGTGGGGGCTCCCGGAGACAGGCAGATGCATCGACCTCTGGTGGAGTTTGTGATGTTTCTGGGAAGACGGTTCTCCAGCTACCGTCTCCCCAGAGAACTCCAGACGGGAGCAAAAAGCCGGTCCTCTCCGAGGACATCCCGACTGCCCAAAGCAACCCCTGAGACGAGGCCGTTCCTTTCTCTGGGGCAGGCCCACGGGCCGGGCGTTGGCAGGCCGGCTGGATCAAGCAACAAGTACGTTGGCATCCGTGTGCAGTGCACGCTGTAGAGACGTCCCGACTAGACCAGTGCCTGGGCCCGTGCCAGTCTTTGTCCGCACATGCATGTGCACGGGCACACGCTCCTGTCCGGGGCAGATGGCACGCATTCATACAAGCAGAGGGAGGACTCTCCGGTTGAACAATGACCGTGTGCTCGGGTTTGCTCGTGTTTTGCATGGTGAAGTGTTGCCATCTTTCCCTCTCTTGGGGAATGTGAGAGAGGAACGGGGAATCCAGCTACTCTTGAAAGACTGGAAGGACCCGGCTCCCACGCCCTTATTGCCATGGGGTTGGCATGGGCAGTCAGGAGTTCAGTGTCTCCCACCGTGGGGTATTTTCACTTGGAAGAGTGGACTCCTGACTCGACAGGCCTTTCGTAAGTCAAGTCCAGGCAGATCTCGTTCAGCCCCTTTGCTCCTTCCCCTGGACATGAAACAGCTTAGGCATCATCATACTGAGGAGAAGAAGTGAGGCTGAATTATAAAGCGACGCCTCACTCCCGACGGACTGCAGAGGGTCGGAGCAAGCAGGACTCCCGTGGGCGGACGGACTGACACCGGGGTGTCTGTCCAGCTTGCAGAACGGGCAAGGCAGCGGGACAGAAACCTGCGTTGCCCGGGTCTGCGAGGCTGTGGCGGCCGGGCTCTAATGCACTTAGCGCTGCCATGTGAAACGTTTGTTCCAGAAAGTCGACACTAATCAGCGTCCTCACGAAAGTCGACTTATGGTCCTGGTCCTTGTCCGATACAGGAGAAAAGAAGAAAGGTCATGCAGGAGGTCTGGAAACACATCTTCCTTTGCAGAACAAGGAGGCCGCGGGAGAGACGCCAGGGACCGGGGGACTCTCCATTCTCCATTGGAGGTGTCAGGGAGAGGCTGGACGGGCGCTGCGGGGGGTGATCCAGGCACAGCGATGCCCGTGCTCTGCTGTGGGGGTGTCGCAGGTGTCTGGGCTGTGCTGGTTGCCCCTTCTCCCCTTCCTGCTCCATGTGTCGCGGGGTTTGAAGCCTCCCCCCGAGGTGCTGGTGCTGCTGCAGCCCGGGATGGGGATGGGGATGGGGCTGGGCTGTGCCAATGCTCCTGCTGCACCGACCCCGCAGGGTCCCGGCTGGAGGGTCTTGCCCCCGCGCTCTGGCTCAGCCCCACGCTGCCCTGGGGCAGGGAGGGAGGCCTGGGGTCTCTGGAGTGTATATTAACCCCTTTGCAGGAGCGGGACCTCGGGTACTGTGGTCCCCTGCTTTCCCTGTGGCAGGTTTGGGTGCGAGTCTTCTGTTGTGCCAGGGTTGATGCTGGTGCTCGTCTTACATAGCGTTTAGGTGAAGAGTTTGTCTGGGCTGGTTTGGACGGGGCCGATCCTGCCTCGGGCAGGGGCTGGACTGGATGTGACGCCGCAGGTCCCTGCCCGCCCCGCGGCTCTGGGACGCTGCGATTGTGAAGCAGGGCTCTGCCACAACGGAATAAGTTATCTGAGAGGCTGTTTTCCCACCTCAGAAACATCCTGGCTTTGCACACGGATGGCGGTCCTCTCGCCTCCCACTCTGCCCATTAATGTTTGCTCTGGTAAACCCTCCAGTCTCTTCCAAGACCCCGAGAGGGGACTTCAGTCCAGGCTCCGGGGTTAAGACTGAGCTCTTTTGCACCTAGTTGAGGAATCGACTTCTTTTTTAGGTGTGAAAGAGAGAGCGTATTCTCCCCAGGACTGCAACCCTTCTTGAGAACAGCATGAATTGTATTGGCATTTTCAATAAATCCATGAATTCTTTGGAGTTAAAATTAATTTAAAAGTTCTCTGTTTGGAAGTGTAGAAAGTTTAGGCTTCTTGTTGTCTCAGCAAAGTGAACAGTGGCATTGCACCAACTTCTCATATAGCTGGGATGAATTGAATTCTTGTGCATCAGCTATACTTTGAAGAAATGAGGTTGTAATTAAACTAAAGGATTGCAGATTGCTGGATCTAATTTCTTATCAATGCCACAGACAGAATCAGGTCAGCAGCTCAAGTCATTCTTGAGAACAGCCCTTGTCCCTTCAGAGGTTGCCCCTATGCCCAGCTCCCGTGCGATGATTGGACTGGTTACGGTGAATCATTGGTAGGAGACGGACCGGACGTGCCCGGCTTTCTCGTGGGCGATCGCTTGACCCAGCTGTTGCTGCCCTTTGCGCGGCTCCATAGCTGCATCCTGGCTTGGGCATCCACATCTGCACAGCTTTTGCCGCTGCCAAGGGAGGGGGTCCTGGGAACAGCAAGACACTGCCCTGCAGGGCCCATCCCCGCGCACAACTCCAGTCTCTCTAATGCAGCACTCCCAAGCAGGGGGTCAAAGGCTGATTAGTGACCAGGTCTGCCATATACATGGGCCACTTGCTGTTCAAGGCAGCTCAGCAGTAAATGAGCCTAACGATGTGAAGCGAGAAGTGTGCTCTGGCTGCTTTGTGGTATTGCGGCGTATGCACTTACAGCGTTAAAAACTCCTTTGGTAAGAGAGATCTGCCGGTCATGAAGAGGTGGCACGGTCGTGGGTCTCCTTGTGTTGCTTTTTTCATAGTGACGTGTGACATTTTAAATAATTCTTTTAAAATGAGTGTTCTCAGGCAAAGCTGCAGTAGATGGGGTTAAACTTCATTTTCTTAATGGCAGCTGCATCTAATTATTGTGTGAAGTCACTGATGACACAGAAAAGAGTTCAGGTTGTTTGTGTTACTTAATCGTGGATGTCTTGCTGTAACGTGCTTGGACTTCGTTGCATTTTGACCTTGACTCTGAATTCCCAGTGTTTTGGGAATCGTCCCAACTGCTCTGGAATGACTTTTTTCACCCTCGAGCTATAAAATCACAGAAATCATGGAGGAGCGGGGCTGGCAGGGACCTGCGGAGGTCACATCCAGTCCAACCCTGCCCGAGGCGGGATCAGCCCTGTCCAAACCAGCCCAGACAAATCCATAATCTGACCTCTTAATAAGACTACCGTCAGCTCTGACACGACACAAGATATAACACCCAAACGTGCCACAGGGAAAGTAGGGGGACCGTGGCAGCCAACGTCTTGCTTCTTTAAAAGGTTGGCAATATACGCCCAAGACATCCCAGGTAGAGGCCATGCCCCCAACTACAGAGGAAAGCAAACCCCCCTCCTCCCCCGTCTGGAGCAGTCTGAGCAGGGGGGCAATCCCTTCCTACCCCCAGTGCAGCGTGGGGGAGCGCGGGGGCAAGACCCTCCAGCCGGGACCCTGCGGGGTCGGTGCAGCAGGAGCGTTGGCACAGCCCAGCCCCAGCCCCAGCCCCAGCCAGGGCTGCAGCAGCACCAGCGCCTCTGGGGTGTCTTAAAAAAACCCACAACAAAACACTCCAAAAGATACTTCCTCTCATTTTAACATAGTTTTCCCCACAAGAAAATATTATTTTTATGGGAGAAAACGAGGCACGAACTCCTGATGTGAGCAAAGCGTGACCCCCGGGCCAGATGGGTGCTGCTGCCGGAAGGCAGGAGGGGGAGATGGTGTCCAAGGTGTAGGACTAGAGCAGGAGCCCCCCCGGTTGGGATGTGAAGCAAGCCCGTGGTATGGGACGGTGTGAGATGGAGAGCGCTACGTCATTTGTT